CTCCTCTTCCTCTCCCTCTCCCTCCCCCTCTTTCTTCTTTATTGTATCAGTGATTGAACCCAGGGTTACTTAACCTCTGGTCCTCATCCTCAGCCCTTTTTATGTTTTATTTTGAGATAGGGTCTTGCTAAGTTGCTTAGTGCCTTGATAAATTGCTGAGGCTGGCTTTGAACTTGTGATCCTTTTGTCTCAGCCTTCCTAGCAGCTGGGATTACAGGTGTGTGCCACCATGCCCAGCTAATAGTAGTTTCTATCTAGAGGACCATAAATATATTTTCAGGAATTTAAATATAGCACATTCTTTAAATCACATACTGAGAAGAGATTTCTTAGGATCACTGGAACAAACTACCACACATAAAAACTTGATGTAAAAAATAAACCCTTTAATTCCTATTAAGTTCTTACCTTGTACTCTGTTGTGTCCACAAGACTTTACAATGATTATTTCATTGTAATGTAGTACTAGAAGATGATTTTTGAGGTAATAGTTTGGAAATTTGTTTGGCAGTTGTGATTTTGAACTTATATGCTGGTTCTCAGGTATATTAACACTCCCAATCTTAGAAATCTTCCCAAAAGCATTCCTTTTACCTTCTTACATGTATCAAGTCAAAGAGGATTAGAGATTTTGGAACTTTAGGATAATGTATTACATAAAGCAATTTAACAAAATTAGCTTTTAGATTAATGCACGTGTGTGTGTGTGTGTGTGTGTGTGTGTATCTCATATTGATTAGAGTACCTAACCTAGGAACTTATTTAAAATATCTCTTTATTGCTTCAAGGTATTATGAATGAGCTGAACTTGCTGGATAAATACCCCTGAAAATTTCCTATATGAAGGATGCTGTGATTGGATTAAGCCATTGCATTTCATTGAAGGAATTAAATCTCAAAAAGAAAGAAGACAAACAGTATACCTTTAATTATAACACATGCCATAGGATTAATTACTTTCTTCTTTGAACTTGGAAAAATGTTAAAATAATGGCAGGAAATAATCATGTAAAGACTCAAAGAAACTTTTAATATAGTGGGCTCATTCATACATGTGTCTATTTATTTATTTAAAAATATTCAGTACCTGGTATATATCAGGCTCACTCAAGGATGAGTAACAAACACACTTTGTAGGGAAATGAACTTCCAATTATGTAAGTTTCTAACTCTTGTTAGACTATTATGGTTATTGTATTGTATAGTGTATAGTATGGTTGGAGAAAGAAGCAGCTAATTTCATCAGAGGGCTGAAATCTTTCTTGGTATCAGCTACCTGGGATAGAAGGTGGCCTGAGCTGATCAGAGGAGAGTCTTTAATCTTGAAGAAAGTAGCAAGATTTGTTTGGGGTGTGGTACACTGACTTTGGCAAAAGTCAGACCTGTCCATGATTCTGAAGACTCAAAAGAAGGTCTTTAGCTTTACCCACGTACGTTAACTGACTGTACTAGCAGCAATAAAATGAATTACCACTAAGTAGCACAAACACAATTCCCCTACAAGATAAGGGTTATTTTATGTATTTTCACATGAGAAAAATGGATTTGAGAGAGAAAATCACTTGTGAGTGTTCAGTTGCAGAGGACAGAAATCAATCTTATTTTAAATGAAAAGGATTTAATTCAAGAAATTGGGTGCTTATAAAATTATGGAAAGATCTGGAGCAGCAGTCAGTCCCTACCCTGAACTTCAAGGAATAATTTCTATGTACCGACACAGAGCTATTCAGGCAGGGGCACCCCCAACCTCTGTGACATTAGCTTCATGATGCCAATTGCTGCTCTAGAACCACACCGTCTTAGCTGTGATAGGAGCTTTAGAGTCCACCATCAGACCTGTGTGCTCCAGAGTTAAGCTGAGCCTGCTTTGCCTATACCAGAGAGATGGATAACCTGCTTCTTGCCTCTTAATACTACTAGGTTACTGTCCACTGTGACTTCTGCTAATGCTATTTCAGGAAAACTAAATCCCTATGACTGTATATATCCAGCAGAAATAGTAGAAACTTCATAGGTGGTTTCTGGACCCTGCTATTTTCTAAATCTCCCTTGAGTATTTCATGTTGGTAGATCCTAAAGCACATCCTAAATTTAGTGGCAAGGGAATCTAGGAGACATGGCTTTTAAGGCAAGACATTGTATAAGAGGAAGGTAGAAGAGGTGTTATGCCTCAAATGACTAGACCTATCACATCTGGGGAGCCGGTATCCGAACTCAGACTTGTCTAAGTTTAAAGCCCTGGACTCTTTCCACTACATCATGAATACTGGAGTCAACATAAAATTCTATTGATTTCACTGAGGTGGCCTTAGAAATTATTTCTATTATTTTTTAGTGCATAAGGGGAACCTTTGATCAAGGAGGACTTGAGCCAGACCCCAGACCCCAAGAGAGCTATACAGCCTTCCTTGGAGTTGGGAAACTATGGAATCCTTGACTGAGTTGGAATATATGAGAAACCATGACCACAGTCTGGCAGAACGAGAGAAAGCATAACAAGAAAAGATGGCTGGAGGTTATAGCTCAGTGATAGATGCTTGCCTAGCAAGGGTGAGGCACTGGGTTCGATCCTCATCACCACATTAAAAAAAAATAAATAAATTAAAATAAAGGTTAAATTCTTTAAAAGATAGCACAGTGTCTGCATAGTCTTAGGGCAAACACTTGGAGCAGAGAGAATTTATAAATAGCTAAAGCCATAGGCAAACCATTTACCATCTCATAGAAAAAGAGAATTCTATTCACAGTGAAGACTCTCAAGGGATTTGGGAACAATTCGGGTTGGACTATAAAAGCTAGGGAAGTGCTCAGATCCTAGAGAATTAGGATATTTTATTTACCTTAGAGGTTCAATTTTGGCATTATAGGCATAACTGAAAGTATCCTAAATAAAAAGCACCGGCACATATTTACATGGTAAAAGACAGAGATCATTTTAGTCTCCTAATCCACTCTAAGAACAGAAAGCCAATCTCTTGCTTCCCCAGTAAATCTTATGACCAATTTCCAGTTACAACAGGAACTCTACCAAGTTAAAGGAGATCTTGATTTTGGCTCACAGCCTTCTTCTTGGAATACTTACACCCTTATTGATTCAAATTTCAGACCTTTCAGATTGTAGCTCAAACTTAATGGGATCATGAATTCTATGCAGGACAATGGAGTTGATAAATTATGTATTTAGTGCCCAGCATAGTGTGGAACATTTAGTACTCATTTAGTTCATTTCTTTCCTTCAAAAATTATGACAAAGTTGAGAAACAAAGCAAAGAGTAAATACAAGAAGACAACTTTATTATAACTAGTGGATAAGTTGTAGGTCACAGCAAAGTGGGAGAAGCATATGGCCTGCTCCTCTCATTTCCCAAAGAGAAACAGGCAGAGCTGAGCCAAGTCTGCCCATTTTTTCTTTGCAAATTAATTAATCAGATAATATGTCACTCCATGTTCTGGGAATAAAGTGAATAAAAGGGATCAAAGAGATTCTAAGAATGGAGAGTTTTAGCATGGGTGAATAAATGCGTGTATGTATGAATGAATTTTGAATGTATGAATCACGTCTCTTTCTAGATTCAAAAAGTCTCCATTGCCTGGGAAATAGCCAACCACTTCAGGTGGCTGGTGGTTCCTGGAGTCACTGTGGACTGGACTATATACTTCAGAACCTAACTCACTCTAAGTGTGGCTGTTGTGTTCAAATGACTATTTCTTCTTTTCTTTGGACCAACTCTGCTTGAAACCTGGAACTTGACTCTGCATCTCAGTCCTTAGAGTGAAGAGCTTGACTTTTCACTTGGATTGTTCTGGCCTCTTCCTAGGAGCTGTTGTTCCATTTATGGACTCTGCAAATTTTCTTCAAGTTGCCAAGTTCACCTGATGCTAGAAACTAAAATACAGTGTTGTTTCTTTATTAATTTTTACTCTATGAACATGGATTTCTATTAGGTTTCTTTTTTGGGAGGATGTGATATTTTTGATATTGAACTTGCATATTGAACTCAGATCCTTTTCTTACCCTTCCGTTATAGATGCAGGACAATAAACTTTTGCTGTTGCTTTTGATCATTTCCTTTAGCTGTCCTAACCATGATGCCCATCACAAACATTTTGGGATTTCAACAATTGTGAGAGTTACTTTTAAATTATGTTGCAAGCTCTTAGAAAAGCAGGGAATCATACTTTGGATCTTTGTAAACTTAGGCAATTAACTAATGCTTTTTGTGATACGTAAAAAGCAATGTCTAAGGAATTCTGCTATGAGCTGCCCAGTAATAATAAATCCTTGAACAGTCTCCAAGTAATGCAGAACTGAAAAAGTCTTTGAGGGCAAGGCATGCTGAGCACAGCCAAGAATAGCCAAAGCTAAGACAGCTGTGGTACTGATCAATCACTGACAGAGAGATACACTTTCATTAATATGCAGAAGTTACTAATGTCATGTCTCACTGGTGTCAAAGCCAGGCATGAAGAGGGGGTAAGAAGGGAAATGGTAATTTGGAAAGAGGGAAGGCATTCTACAGTGCTGAAGTATCTTTTTTGTGCCATATATTATTTAATTTGATCCTTGTAAAAACTCATTGAAATAGACATTGTGAGTTTTTTTTTCCACTTAATGACAAAGAAATCGAGGATTAGTGAGATTTCTTAATTTTCCAAGGTCATTCTTATATGGTTATAGGAATTGAGATTCCTAACTTCATCTGTTTGGCTCTATAGGAGCAGAACTTGCTATCACATTGCTAATTGACCCCTATATGAGGATGTCCATTGGTATTATGTTCCTGGATTATCTATATTCTCACTCCTCTAGAAGTTCTCAGTTAATTCAGGAACTAAGACTTCAACCTTCTTCTCCTACTCCTCCTCTTCC